AGCTTTCATTACGCAAATGAAGCAGAGGCCGGAATCCTCAACAAACAACCCGGAAATAGCTGGGACCATTACCCAGATTCGACTTGTGCTGGAAACCAAGTCCAGCATCCTCTCTTGCCTCCTAGAGACCTCCTTCCAAAATTAAATTGCCTACCGCCTGGGTCCGGGGAACGCAGGTAGTCGTACCTCTGCCAGTGTTGGGAAATTATGTCAAAACGCCTGTTCCCGAAGACTTCGGGGGTGGGGCCCAAGGTCGGCGAGTCCCATAAATCTTAGTTTTTTTTTGTCTTTTTTTTTTTTACTTTTTTCAAAGTAAGTTACATTCTTCTCTCAATGTCAGCTCATACTACCTACCTACCACTGCTACGTTTTTTTTTCTTTTTTCTTTTTTTTGCAAGGACAATGCACCAATCTATTCGTGGGGAGCCACACATGCTGGGGTCTGGTCCCACCTACGGTTGTTGAGTTCAGAAAACTCAACGGTGTCACGCCGTTTCGATATTAATAAATTTGAAACAAGAAAAAAAAAAACTGAAAAAAACGCTAGAAACAGCTTTTCTCCTTATTTTTTATAAGGTAACTCGGAAAAATTAAACATGTCTGGAACAGTCGGAGAGAACGTCTCCGTGAAAAAGGGATACTCCCCGTGGTGAGGGGACAGGAGGTCACCATTTGTAAAATGGACAGGGACGACACGGATGGCCAAATGCATTCATTGCCCAAAGAAGGACACGAGTTTGATGCCAGACAGCCAAACACAGTTGTCAGAGTTTTTCCGTTTCAAGATGCAATGAGGTCTTAAAAAAACAAAAAAAAGGAAAGGTACTGAAGTTGAGAAATGTACCCTACCCTCGATAGGGTAGTTTTCTCAATGGAAAATGGCTTCCCGCCCAAACAAAAAGGGCCAACGCATACTACAAAACGGATTTCACGTCAAAGAAAAATTCTACAAAATGACTAAATCTAATAGGTTATTCTCCTGTATTTTGGTACCGTTAGATTCACAATACATCAACGGCAGAGCTCCGTCTCACCATGCCACACGTGATAGAAAGCTCAACGTTGTAGGTGGGACTAGACCCCTGGGAACCGCGCGCAGTGTCCCATCAGAAAACATATTAGGAAATGTATGCGAGGCAATTGAGATACCGGGGTCATTATCCAGCTTCCACTATAATAGCTGAGAATATGAGACTACGAGCAGCATGAATATAGCTTTGGAACACTAAAAACCTTCACAGTCTTAAAGAATCTTGTAGCCACACACGGAGCACCACAAAAGTCTTCAAAATACTCAAAGCCCCCAGGGACCCCAAACAAAACCCTCTACGACCTCACACCCCCACCCTATTAGGTTACAAGGCAACACGACTCACCCTGGCTTTGGCCAGCGTCGTTCCGGCAGTAACCCTTGGTTGTCCCTTGGAATGTCCACCCCAAAGCATCCCCATATCTCTCTACCAGGCCTCATGCTCCTACTATCAACAGGTTACACAGCAACGCCCAAACACCGACCAACGTCGTTTTGGCATCGGACATCCACAAATCCTATGAACATTACAACATCGGAAAAACCTACAGTGAGTTGCTAGGAGCCCCTAAAATCTCATAGCATTATAAAAACTACTTTGAGCAACCGAGAGCAGCAAACTTGCTTATAAAAGAGTGAAAATCACTACTCCTAATTATAGTCGTACGGTGAAATTATGTTTTTTTAATTTATTTAATATTTTTATGAAAATATCATAATAAAATATGCAAGTAATCCAATTTTTAATTTTTTTTCCACGCATTTTTTTAAGCGTGAAAAATCATTGAAGTTGGAGTTTTTTTTTTTTTTACCTACACATGGTTGAGTGGCAAAAAGGAAAAATGCACCAAATCGGCATGGCGAAAATTTTGCGGCCTTCGTGATTTTTTTTTATTTTATTTTTTTTACGATAAAAACCTAATCTATGAATTCTCAAATTTCCAAATTTGTATGCAAATTCTTATGAGCACAAACAATTGTTAAAGTTGGCTCTTGCAAATTGCATGAGTGGACCCGTCGATACTCCTTTTATGACGGGGCGTAGTGGACAACAACATTCACGCGCGTCGACACGATACCCTGCCTCAACGCATGCGTCTGATGACATTGGAAAATGAGTTTTATCTTTAGCCATTTTGCAGTTTCATGCAAGGTAGGACTAGTCCTCCAACTTTGCTACCACGCCAGTCGTATGCGCGATAGTTATAGGTAGTATGTAAAAACGCAGTGGATCGGTCCCCCAATAACTTTCACCCCATGTAGAACGCACTTGTGCATCGGTCCCCTGCCACTGAAAATGTGTCACCTTGACATGGACGTCAAAGTCTACTATATCGCAACCTTAGGGTTGAAAACTTGAAGATCTTAAAATTTATAATTTTAAAATTTAAGAACTTGAAGCTCGAAAAAAATAGGGGTTCCAATCCAATTTTGTGTTATCTCGGTCTAATTTGACCTGCTAACTTATTTTGTTGTTTACAAGTAGTCACTTGGATATCAGAAGTTGACCTTCTATCGAAATTGTTGCCCATACATTGTTTTTAGTCCAAGAGTCCCGGAACCATCAAATTTTCTTCCCTTGACTACCACAAAGGCTACCTGAAAGTTGCCAATCTGCTCAGATGGCGAAATGTACATGCTCTATGACCCAAGTGACTTGTTGTTGTATGAGGAAGGTCTCTCCCCTGAATACTTTAACATTTAATGCTTTCCATATAATGCTTATCATCACTTCCCGACACACAAAGACAACGTACTCACATCCTTCAGTAAGAGAGGTATTATGGGAAACAGGGCATGCAGGATCCTCTCGTCAGTCGAATCTCATCCATTGTCCATGATCATGTTCTGTCAGTCGTGTTTCCACCACTTCCATAGTTCATAAGAGAATGGACAATGTAACCACATATGGTATAGGTTTCCCAACCTAATTCACACCGTGACCTTTGGCACATTGTGTCTAGTGACATTCTCTTTTATTTTAGCCACACCATTGTAGTGGTGACTTGCATAACTTATAGCCACAATATCCCTACGTGCTTTTCGGATATAAGTTTTTTTAACGTTTTTCAAATTCGTTTACAGTCTAGTGGGGTATGACTTAAACCCACTTGCTTCTGCTACTTTTCCAACGATATTTCCTCTGGCTTCTTTTTCGTCGTTTAGCATTGGACCTTGACTCCTACCTTCGATTTATACCAATACAAGCGGACTTATGAATCATTGAGGTCTTTCCAACAAAATAGTAATGGTTCAACCCTGTATTCCCTTGCTTATTTTCTTCAACATAACATATTGATGTGAATTGTAGGCCACCTTATCATACATTCTGATCTCCGACATTCTCACCATAGTCTGAGACGTTTCATCGGGTTTCATTGTTAACAGAGACTCCCCATTCAATTGTTTTTTTTAAGCTTTGGATTGAACCCTCACCCCCCCACCTAGCTCTGGACCCACTACAGTGTCTGATGGATGGTAGAGTCAAGTACCCACCGCATGTTCTGAGTATTCACTCAGCATCGTCCTCCAGTGATACGAGATTGCATGCTTCAACTTTTCGTAATTTGCTTTTACACTTCGGGGTAGTATAAACCGCAGTTCCGTTGGGGAAATCCACTCTACTACATCCTCGTTCTATATGTCTTTTACATGGATTATGTCCTTTTTATCAATTTTATACCAACATTTCCTTTTTCTTTCAAAACTTGAAAAGACGGTCGATTTATTTATTTCAAATATAAATTCTAAAAAATATATTGGTTCAAAACCTCTACACTAGTTTTTTATTGTCTCAACAAGTCCGACCAATTTTTTTATTCATGTTGCTAATATTGCTGCCCAGATATTAGACTTTGCTTTCTTGTTGGCATAAGCCAGAAGCATCAAGACTTTTCAGACATCTTGCCCATCACTTAAATTTAATTCCTCACCGAAGATGTACTCTACAAATTTTACTCATAACTTATCTTTGCTTTCAAACATTGCCTCTATTACTCATTTACTAAGAAGAGCTCAATTTTTATGGTGTGGTATAGGATACCCATACCTCATTCGTCCCTAGGAATTGCTACAACCTCCTAAGGAACTTTTGACGTAAAGTTATGAAGTTTCAATGTTTTTGGTTTCCACAAATAACTGATAGTAATTTTTTTTTATTTTTTTTTAATGCCTCTTTCTCTAGGTAGTGTACCGTTAACGGGAACCAAAGAGAGTGTTTGTGGGATCTTATCCAACTCATGATCTGGGTCGTGACCTTGTCAACCAAGAGGTTGTCTTGAGTGTCTGCACAATCTAAGAACGAAACTTATACTCTCCCAAAACAGTAAGAATTACCCGTCGGGATCTGGCGTTGTCGGTGCGGATACCCCTGGGTATCCACCCTGGTTTTTGTAAGTGACAGAAAATAGATTTGGTTTAAAGTTTAAGCATTCCGAGCGGGGCGCGACTGCATTCGTAGTTTACATTGACTGAAGGTAGAGAGTGTATGGGCGCTCGGATTTGAGGCGCACGTGATCCTTTTAGTTTTTTTATCGATGATTGTGAAAGTCGATGAAATTGCCAGCCAGATTTTTGTTTTTGATTAAACTAGGATTAAAAAGATTATGTCTCGTTTGATTGATGTGCTCGCCTGTGATCTATGCATACTTGCAGAGGACGACATCGACAACAATGTGAATTTTGAAAACATTTCAGTAGGACTGT